TTGTATAAGTGATATCGAAAAAATAAAAACGATATTGCACAGACAAAATTCACCTTTTTATGTGGTGAAAATTTCGTTTCTTAGTTATARCTGTAKCYTTCTCKGTTCTTTCCCGCGCRWAAMAGTTTTTGYAATGTTACGCACTTGTAAGACGGAGACAACACATGCGGGTGAAACGTCCTCTTAATCGTATTACCATAGATTACATAATGACATAATATCATAGACCTTGTGGTGATACTCCGACGTATCATCACATGCAACATTGTATCAACGTTACCGCCTGTCCTTTTTGCATTGTATAAATTTTAACACACTTGCGTTCGCAAGTAATATTTATGCTCCTTGCACCGACCGACCAAAATCGCGTCTCGCCCCCTCTACGTCCCGCCGGCTCGACTCGCCGCCGGACGTACGACCGACCGTCGCGCCCGACATTCCGTCACTACGTTTTTTCCCGTCTTACCGACTCGACTCCCCGAGCCCGACGCGAACGACCACCGCTGTACGCTCTCGCCATTCTGTTACAACCATAACAATATATTACTTTGTAAATTATTTAGTTTTGCAACCTGTGCTAATAAACCTTTTCGTGACACCTCTCGTGTCATTTCGTCAATAAGCTAGCGTGTTATTTCTTTAGTGTTTCTCCCGGTTTAGCGACCAAAAGCCTTCGTTCCTTCTGTACGAGACAGATTCGCGCATTTGGCGATACTCACTTGCCAAAACCTTATACTCATAGACCGGTCCTGCCTATATTACTAACATACGCGTAGTGAGCCGTGATAGAGGGCGCGATTAAGTGACTGAGTGACCGATGCACGCACGCAATTTCTCGCGGGCGCGACTACAWWCGCATGTTACAATAATTATTGGGTTGTGTTCATTGCAGTTTGTGATAATCAATATTTTCTTATCAATCATAATTTATCACTAATGTTATATTTTGTGCTATTACAATAACATATTAACATGTCGAATATTCATATAGTTTGTWTTAAAATAATATTTAAGATTTAAAGTTTATTGAATATTTTTTWAATATATTTTAATCAAGTTAAATAAAGAATGATTTATAATAGATTATAGCTATAGAAATTTAGATGGTTAAAAATCATTATTAGTATGTATTAAATTTATTTACTCATTTCTAAAAAGAATTAACTTAGTAAGTTTTTTTCGGACTCCTACTGTTGGTTTTTGTTGCTCTTTTGCTAGGTGTTTTAGCCTTAGGTTGATGTATACTGTGATAATTAATTTTAATAACTGATCACGGTGATTTGTGAATAAACCTTGACCATGTATGTGTGCATCCATATCTTTACTCAGGAATACAGTTCTGAATACTTCAGATTTTATTTGTATGTATAATTTGTTTGTAAAATTTTTAGCATATATACTAGGTACTAAGATTTGTACATCTTATCCATTTTTCAGCWACAGAGCAAATATATTCCACATCCTTACTTGGTTTGAATAGAGCATTATTCCRGTCTTTGAGTGTTATTAATAAGTTAGTGGTATGATTGATACTTAACACTTGTTTACAAATTAAACAATTTATTTTTTGAGAAACCGTTTCAGCCACAAATCCTGCAATGTAGTGTGTAACATTTTCAACATAAGCAGATACTTTATACATATTTATATGGTCATTATCATGCGAAAGCTCCAATTCTTCATCAACGGTTTGTTCTATTTCAAGTATAGAATCTGGCAACTTATTACTTGATACATTCTTTAACATACTTTCAGGAAGACA